ACTATATTATATATATATATATATATATATATATATATATATATAGTCTTATATATTTAATTTAAAAATTAATTAGTTTAGTATCTCATAAAAAGTAGAAGAAAGGAAACATGGTCGATTAAATCTATTTTAATACGTTCGGCGTTCAGTTCGACGAATGATTACGTGAAATACGCATAAATTACATTTTAATTGATAATCGAATTACATTAAATTATGCGAGAAAATAATTATCCCTACTGGTTCTAAAGCTGTCATGAAAGTTACTTTTTATTTTTATTCATGTACGCGATCATCGTTAACCACGGGATATCATTACTAATTTAACGGCTGAAGAAGCTATCAGGATTAAACGTTTTAGATTTTGTTACTGCTAATTCAATTGAAAGAAATGAGAGTTTGTAACATTGCGATGAGCGATGCCATTGTGACATTTCGATAAGCTGTATTGAATTACCGGTGCAGGATATGCTGGTAGAATAAATAAACTTGGCATCATGTTGCATAAAATATCTCACGCTTCCACGAATGAGCGCGACTATTCGTCTATTTCATCTGCTATTGCAAGATTGATAGAGTTTTCTTTCTTCGCGAGCTAAAGCCGTCGCGTGCGGGGCGCTCAGCATCGTTTGGCTGGTCCAGCTATTTTGGGTACGGAAATATTGTATACCGATTCCGCGCTAGGATGATCAACGTGTGTCGGTATGCCGAGCCCTATCCCTTAGATTCTCACCCGTGAGACAATGTGACGACACGCCGGCGTGGAGAGAAACGCCGGTCGAAATAACCGTAATGTCAATAACAAGGAAGAGAGAATGTAATTCTGCGGAGTCCGCGTTTTGCGTTGCCGTTTTTTGCGAATTCCTGTGCGGGGTGTTCGTTCCTTCGTGCGGGCGCGGGATCTACGATCCAAGCACGGGAAAACGCCACCATTGATCATCCTCTGTCTTATTTGTATTGTACATACTTCAAACTGCGATTGATTGGGCCGCGTAAATCGCCGTGATTAATTCGCCGACGATCGGATTAGTCATCGGTAGCTGCGCGTGCGAGCGCGTCCGCAGCTTCCGTTTTGGGATTTGCGAGGGAGATGGATGCGGAAAATGTAAAATAGAGGCGATCGGAAGATCATTATATTAATGACATTACGAATTCGGTGAAACGAATGCGTAACGCGTGTGTGCCATTGTAAATAATAATAATTCGTGGCGTTACGCCACAGATCGCATCTAAATTAATACCTCGTGAGGTACCTATTTTTCGAATCACTTAGGATAGTGTGACGACGTCCGTAACTATTTACTTTCTTTCCTCTTTTCTAAGTAAAAAAGAGCGTAATTGCTCTTCGTGCACGAGGGACATAAATTTACAAGTTACGTTGTTTAAGAACAGACATAGGCAGGTCGTTGCGCAAACTGTTTCTTTTCCACAAATATGAGTTGTACGATAAGCGATAGTTATTCGTCGTTCCGAGGGAATCGATGAGATAACGTTGGCTAAATGCAAAACACGCGACGCAGCAAACGGACTTGTCCTTAGATATCGTTATATTACCTGTTTAAATTTAAGATCATACCGTCCGAGATCATCCCACATTATACATATATTTCAGATGTAAAAAAAAATCGCGTCATTTTTGTATTATTAATTTAATTTTAATAATAGCTTTAAATAGCGCGCGTTACATTTAATAGCATATTTATAATTTTGAAGATTAAATCAAATTTTCTTTTTTTTTTTTTTTAATTTAGTTAATTAAATTAATAATTATTTCTTCTAATTTTATTATAATTAAGAAAATATATCAGATAATCGATATCAGTGAAATGACGGAAAGGAATTTTTTTTATTTTGGAGAATTGAGAAGTGTTCTTATTTGATATTATTTTAGATCTAAAGGATTAATATGATGTACATTAACCGTTATCATTACTGATCAGTAATTATTAAATATATTTGGTATCTTAGACCTCAAAATTTAAACTTTTCCTTTCAGCTCTCGTTTGTATGCGGAATGAACAAATGATTGAAATTACATCTATGCAATAATATTTCCTAATTTTTATGTTCTAAAGTACCTTAGTGAACTGATAAAGATAATCAACATTAGGTCCAAGAAAATTATGAAATACGGAAACGGTCGAACAAGGAAGGAAAGAATCTATGTGTGAATGTGTGTATGTGAAAAAGAGAGGAAAACAGAGAAAGAGAGAGAGAGAAAAAGAGCGAGAAATCCCTCGTCACTAATTTGTGTCAACTTCTTCCATGTCATCTATTAAGGAATATCTGTAATCGTCACGTGACATTCCTTTTTCTCGAATTCTCAAATTCTCCGCGTATATTTGTAAACTCCTCAAAATCGTCCTTAACGATTTAACAATTGAAGAATTTCAATACAACGTTTTTTGGGCCTACCTTCCTATCGGATTAAAAAAAAAAAATCTAAATGGCACCGTTGAACACAGAGAACACGCTTGTTTTTCTTGTTTCGGTATCCATGTTCGAGTTTCGCTTAAAGTATTTGTGTGTCCGATGCGCTCGGTAATTCCTCGAAGTGATATGTACATATAGTTACAAAATGACATAATTAATGTTGCATAGTTCTGTCTTAGGCTGCTGAAGTTCAGTTACGTGCACTCCTCGTCGGAAAAGAGATTCCCTCTCCCAAGCGAAATTTTCTTAAGTTACATAAGCGTTAAGAGAAGAACCGAGTATTATACTTTCGTTCGGGTTAGGTTTATACTATGCGTAACGGTAAATTACTTTAGTGCGACGAGATCGATTTCGATAGTAAACGAGTACTTCCGATTGTATTTAATTGCTCGACACACTATGTACTACGTTTTTGATAGCGCGGATGCTCAAATTGTAATTTGTCCTCGAACTTGAGCATTGTCGCAATACTTTTAGCGACTGATACTTTAGACGTTTTACTAGGACACAGTGTACACAAGATTCAAAGCGTTTAAATAAAAGCTTATTTATTGCCGAAAGTGCGTTGTTCTTTGGTTTAACTTTAACTTTTCAGAAAGGTACAGACTTACGTTACAATAATTGTTAAATAGAAGTTTAATGAGAACTTTGAGATATGCACGATTTTACGAATATTTTCTACTCGAGAGATTGTCACAAACCCGTAAGAAAAAGCTTATTAAAATTTATCAAATATTTAAATCTCGTGAAAGACAAATTTATTATACGTAAAACTTGTGAAATGACAACTTAACGTTCCTACTCGACTTCGCGATTTTGATTATCGTGTGCGCATGCACTCTCTCCCCGCTTTATCACACATATTCGAACTATCTTTGATAGAATATACAGTATATATCTTCTATCTTTGATAGAATATACAGATATTTCCTATCTTTTCACAAATAGTAATCTTGATTATCTCCGCGATATGGTATTCGATACGATAGTGTCGCTGTTTACGCGACGTAATGCGATCATCGAGCCCTCCCACGTAATATATATACGGCAAAATCTTATCTGTATAGTGAATTACCAAGTCACATAACGTCAGCTATTTAGTAGAATGCACTGAAGTGTACGGTGCGCACCGACTCTCTTATATCGCGCGCGTAG